CAAAATGAGCAGCTAAGCCTGCAGTCCTATCCACACTTACCTGGGAGTAAGCCTCAGTGAACTCTATGGGACTGACATTGGAGCTGACATGTATATGATTGTACTGCAAACAGCAAAAACCCTGGGATGTGGGGCATACAGCAACAGTGACAATGTGCAAAACAAATCAAATTAACAGGGAAGAAAAGGCTACCCCCTAAAAAGCAATAGCATTTTAAAATCTGAACCCAAAGGTCTCAGTTGAGGGCTTTTGACCCAACTCCAATAATTTCCCTTTTCAATGGCAAATCCGGTGCCTATGTTCTGCCTCTACTGTCAGAGGCTAATAGTCTCTTCTTACTTTCAGCATTCTTCTTTTTCAGCATTCATCAGAGCAGATTAAAGTGTTACCATCCTACATTGGGCCCACAGAATAAGGAACAAACAGCAAGGATACCATACAGCTAATTCCACAATTTTAACCATATCATCACTATGTCAGGTACTGATTAAAACATTCCTTCCCTGAGCAAATGTAGCTCATGTAGGCAATGACCATGAGCTCTGAACACCCTAGCTTCTGCTTCTTGGGTGTATGATATTTTGGAGGTCTTTGATAAATTCTTCATTTGCAACAGAGGGAGGGAAAACTATGTCCCCACTGTGGAAGGATGTGGATCCAGAATTGGCCTCCACAGCAACCTATGGACACACTGTTAAGACCATATTCATGGAAGACAATCTTACTCGGCTACGAGTGATCGCCAAAGACATCACTAAGATTCATAGATGCTCTAGAAGTACTTTTATGCTCCACACTGATATCATATGGAAGGAAGGAAGGTGCAACTTGCCACTCTTAAGGAAAATTCTGGGGTGAGAGACTACGCAACAGCCCAGCTCATCTGGATTCAAGTCCCCAGTGGGTCCATGCAGTCAGTAAAAGAAGGAAATTCCAGCCAAGCAATTTGGAGCAAAACAGCAGTCAGTAGACTTAGATCCTTTATTGTTGCACAACAGGTTCAAAAGCAGTGAGCGAACCCAGAGCATGGGCGACATTGACTTTTTAAACTTTCCCACCATATCCCAGAATACAGTTTGCACAGCATCATCAATACATCATTGCTACATCACTAAAACATCAGAAAAAACAGGAGGGTTACATAAGATTAACATAAGGAAAATGTGTCAGGGCAACACCCAAGGATAGGATTAGCATAGGCAAACATGTCTTAAGTACCCATCAGCCAAAGAACAATAGATTTCCCTTGCATGTCTGGAGCCTGAGGCAAGTCCAGTGATGAGATTTGGCTTCCCTTGGAGAACAATGAGGCCAGCAATTGTCACCTATGGGCATTTCCCGGGGTAGGAGGTGTGTATACATGTCTTCAAGCTTGGGGAGGTAGCAGGGGAAAGAGTCCTTTTTCCAAGGGCAAAATGGCGTTGGGATGGAGGAAACTGGCAATGGAGTTGATATTATATGATTTTTAAAGCTAGGTATCTTCCCTGAGCTGTCAAGTCGAAAGGATACATTCAGGCATAATATTTGTAACATTTAACAACTTTAAAGATGTGCCCCCCTGCCTGTAATTTCCATAACAGCACTAAGACAGACTGAATCACAGCACTCTGCCATGGTGAGTCCTTGTATTTCCTCAGCTCCTGCCTCTGGTTATATGGCTCAGTCAGATCCCACCTGAAGCAACATAGCAGTGACAAAAGCAGCTACCATTTGATGGCTGTCCAGCAGTATCTGCAACAATGTAGTAAATAAAGGCTGCATTGGTCAGATGAGAAGCAACCCCCCAACATCTGGCGCCAATTGATCCTTGTCTCGCAGGTGGTCTTGTCAGCAAATCATCTGGGTAAATGAAAAACACTCTTGCCATTACAGGTGGTCCTCATAGCTTATGCTCCAGCCACCTTGGCAGGGCTGCTGCTGTGGTTAAAGAGGCACTTTCTGCTGTGAGCATGCCAACACTGGCATCCGTTAAAAAGAAAAAGCAAATTATCAAGTCTAATGAGAGATGTATGGGGGGGAGTGTAGAATGTACTCTGGTGAGGTCTTCCTGAGAACACTGATATGCATAGCTCTGATCCCTATGAGCACATAGGGGAGAAGGGTAAGGATTTGGGGAGGTTTCTGGGAACCAGGAAAGGGAAAATGCAGTTGCTAAAAGGGTTCAAGGAGGCAGCAAATGGGAAAACAGGATGGAGAGTCCCATGCTACCAAACATTTGCATCGGGCAGAGTCTTACCAAAGTTTGGCACTTTCAAGTCCCACTAATTTCAGTGCTTAGCTTTGCATATTGCAAACTCTCCATCAACAGAAAAACCAGCTGTGTCATTCTTGTTTGGAGATCATATGTACCACAAAGCCATACAAATAAAATACCTATTGGAAGTTTTGGGGTCATTTGAAATTTTTTTTAAAACAACAACAACAGTGTCAGATCTTCTTATAAACAAAACAAAACAAAACAACAACAACAACAACAACAACAACATCTTGTTGAATTCAGCAGGGCAAGGTCCCCAGTAAGTGGGGTTAAGATTGCAACCTAAATATTGATTTTTCATCCTCTAAACTTCTGTGCCACAATAAATTTGAAGAAAAGGTTTGGAACTGTGCGTATGTAGACATGAAGAGTAACTAAATATTTTAAACAGCATTTTGAAGGGTAATGTTGCCCCCCAAGCACCTTATATGCATTTTTTGTTTTCGCAGTCATTCCGTTTGTGGTTGAATTGACCGCAACAGCTGTAAGAATAAAAACATCAATTTCCTTTTAGATTTAGATGTGGCAGGACAGTGTCCCTGAAATACCACATGGCAATTCACATTGTGTCATGGTTGAGTAATACGAGGAGCATGGAGTTGTGGAAGACTGACACAAATGTTTTATGACTCCCCCAGCCCCACCATGCTATCAAGGTGTGAGTAGAGACTTAAGTCCTATGTATTATCAATGGAGCTTGATAATCATGCAGATATTTCTTGATGTGACAGCAAAAAACTGTATTCTTCATCATGCAGAAATGTATGTCTCATAAAGACATCAAACACACACATACAAAGTTGGGAAACTTTGGCATTCATACTTTTGAGGGGAAAATTTTTTTTGGGGGGGGATGCATTATGGACCCCCACTTACAAGGGGAGTGTGTATGGATGCATACATATATATCCAGTGCTTTTTTTCCTTCTAAAAAAATGTTTAGGGGTACTCTCATTTTCCAACTCATATTGAAATATTGCCCCTCAATGAGGCCAAATTTAGATTCACAAAATGTTTAGGGGTATGTGTACCCCAGAGTCCACCAGGAAAAAAGGCACATTCTTTCACCTTTGGTGGACATGCCCAAGGATTAAGACACAATGTCCCTGCCTTCTGATTAGTTTCTGATAGCAAACATAGTGGATGCTACCAGAACATAATTTATCTATGTCTTAATCCAATTCAGTTCAAAGCAGCATGTGTCAGACTTTCTGGACAAGGAAAGTTTTAAATTTCAGAAACTCAGAATCAGATAGCTGCTAGTATTTTCAATCTTTGTATGACAGGGACAATGCATGAGAAAATGTTTCTGTGTGTGCAAAGTATGTATTTTATAAAAGATGCACCAAATTAGCTGGTTTCTTAGCGGCTAACTACTATGGCTAAAGTTTGACACCTATTTACAGACAGGCAGTGTCAAAAAATGGAATTTTATGACGGATGATAGTGTGGCACCAAAACTCTAGCTGTTTGAGTAGTGCAACAACATTACTGCTGGTGCTGAAAATGAAAAGCAGATTTCTTGTGTATATCTACAAAAGACCCTCCATGTCACTCCCGTGATATATTTGCTTAACAGCTGCTGCCAGCTGCTTTTCCTATGAGACTCAAAATGAGAGTGAGCTAGGAGGATGGCAAGGCAATACAGCTGGTAGACCTTGTTTGGCACAATGAACTCTCTGCTCAAGAAGTAGCATGCACATGTGCTCCATACCAGTGTCAAGACTACATGCCAGGAAGCTGCCGGCCAGATAGCTGTGCAACATTCCCAATGTCAGTGGAACAATGAAGCCACCAAGCTTGGGACTGCCAAGTTTCTTCTCTGATGCAATAGGTAGGTGTAATCCGTTACTAAATGCTCTTTTGGACCATTCTCCTTTTCAGGAAGGATGAAGAAAGCTCTAGTAGAAAAATCCATGGTCATCATAAGACTACTCTGTGATTTGCACAAAGGTCTCAGAGCAGGAGAATCTCTCTTTGCTGGTCTTAATAAGGATGTTCATATGGTGAACATATGGAAGAGCTGCTAGAATGCATCTAAAGAAGTAGGAACTGTAGGATTTTTCTGTCATGGGATACTGTTTTAGCAACTACAGTGCATACCTCTGTTTGTGTCTCAGAAGCCACAGAGCTGTTGATATTAACCTTTTCTTACAGGTGTTTGTAGATGGGTTCTGGGGGAGCAGGAAGTTAAACACTGAATGGTTCAATGCCACTGATTCTGACATGTACTCATGTTCCAAGGATTTTGAGATAGGAGAAGGGGGTGGGGAGGAAGTAGAGCAGATATTCAATATTTATACTGAATGTCTGCCTCACTCACTAAAAATTCTGGACCTGGGGGGGGGGTATCCCAGTATTCCTTGAAATGCTGTGGGGACAAAGCATCTTTATTGACATGGTCATGACTGCATAGAGCTGTTCCACAATGACTTACAACACTCAGTTCCACTTCCAGTGGAGAAAGGCTGACCTGCCAGACCATTGGAATGAATGAGTTTCACTTTCTGGGCCAAAGAGTTCCTGGCAAGGTTTGACCAGAGGGCAGAACAGGGCAATCGCAAAGGATCAGGACCCTGGTCAGCTCCCTGTGGTACAAGCCTCAGAGGCAACAAGCTAGAGCAGGGTAGTCCAACTTTCTGATCAAGTGGGCCACAAGAGAACCTGCGGGGTGCACACTGTCTTGTCACGCAGGGGAAGGGGAGAGTGAGGCCAAAATTGGATGCCCTCTCCAGTCCTTGCACTACCTTCCCAAAGCTAGCCAAATGAGCAGGGTCCTGGAGCCCTCCCACCTCCTTTCCAAAGCTGGGAAAGTGCTAACTAGACTGGGAAGGAGGCAAGAGAACTCCAGGACCCTTGCTTGCCCGGCTTTGGGAAGGCAGCATGAGGGCAGAGAGGGGCATGTCAAATGTTGCCAAGGGCTTCCAAAATAGACCTTTAGGGCTCCATGCAGCCCTCAGGCTGTGTGTTGGGCCACCCAGGAAACCTGTTGTAAAGGTGTTGTCATTTATGCCTCCTGCCTTGGCTCTGGCAGGGCTAGGGAGCCTCCTGGTTCAACTGTTTGTAGGGTGACAGTGATGGGGAGCCCTCGTCATGAGGTGTCTTCCTTGGATTGGAGTAGGAGTTAGTCTGTCAGGTAAAACAGATATCAGAAAGACTGACTTCTGGGGCTCTTCTTTTCCCCCTGGGGAGTCTCTGGAAGGGTAAGTATTCCTGGGCTTCATTCTTTCCCCATGTCTTCCCCATCCCTTGTTGCACTAGAGTCTGAGTCTAGAGCCAAAACGATGTGGTAGCTTCTGCATACTAGACCTATGTGTGTGCTCTGGAAAGTACCTACAGTTTTGGATCCTAACTGCATTGTGTATTCCATCCAGCTGACCCACATGCAGTGTTCTGCTCCCTGTACTGTTAAATAGGTCATAATTCAAACAAGGGTTTACCACCCATTAAGTCTGGCAGGCTGCTACCCGTTGTTGCTAAGTTTCCTCTACACTGTTGCGAGCACAAGGAATGTGAATTATAGGCTTTCATTTAAGGAAATATCCTTTCAGACTTGCTGGCATTTCTTTATTAGTTCTCTAGTTCTGTATCATCGGTGAAAACTTTCCCACCTCCTTTGAAGAGCTGTGTGGTTTCCTTGCTTGATCATCATTTCTAAGTCAGTTATATTACAACTTCTTTTGGACATCTGGAGAGGCCATTTTGCAAAGGAAGTGAATTCGTTTAGGGAATTGCATTGTAATTCCTCTTCTCTCCCCCATTGTACTCAACAGGCGGGATGAGCAGGTTAGATTACCATTTTCTCAGGACAGCTTTCCAGCTGGCGCTGTCCAGGTGTTCTGGACTACAACTCCCATCAGTGTGCTGATGCAGTAATAGTAGCAAGTTAAAGATTGCCTGGATCATTGATTTTGCTGCAGTATTTTCATGTGTGTTGTTTGACAATTGAATATAGGTTCCATAGACGGCCTTGGCTCTGTATACCTGAAGGAGCGTCTCCACCCCCATCATTCAGCCCAGACACTGAGGTCCTCCTCTGAGGGCTTTCTGGCAGTTCCCTCCCTGCGAGAAGTGAAGTTACAGGGAAACAGGCAGAGGGCCTTTTTGGCAGTGGTGTCCACCCTGTGGAATGGCTCTCATCAGATGTCAACAAGATAAAAAAACTATACAACCTTTAGAAGACATCTGAAGGCAGTCCGGTATAGGAAAGTTTTTAATGTTTAATGTTTTATTATGTTTTCGTATATGCTGGAAGCTGCCCAGAGTGGCTGGAGCAATCCAGTTGTACAATGATGATGATGGTGATGTTTTGTTAACTTAACTGGTTTATGAACATAATTATACACAGCTCCCCTGGCAGGCTGCTACCCGTTGTTGCTAAGTTTCCTTTACACTGTTGCGAGGAAACTTTTTCTCAAGTTTGCTCACTGCCTGAACGGTGCCAGTACTTTTGTACAGGCTGTGTTGGCCAGCCTGAAGTCCTACTGTATATGAAGTCCTACTGAGGAAACTGAATGAAATTTATTCATTAAGTCAAGGATTCATTTATGGTGGTTATTTCCTCTAGATCATAGTTTCCCAAACTCAGTTTGGGAACTCAGAACCATTTCACAATTCCCATCATTTCCTTAACACAGGCCTGAAGTAGGATTACTACTAGTCTTACCAAAGTGGGAAGGCTGAATACCTAAGGACCTGAATATAACACACTGTATGTCCAAGAGGAGACTGCCAGAGAGTTATTAATGTTTGTGAATGCACCTTTGTATTAATCAGAGTAGTGTTCATATATTACTCATCTTAATAATTTAGAAATGTGTGGTGGAAGCCAGTTAATGCAGCAAATAGATCCAAATTATGAGTGAAGCTTGTTTCGCTAATACAGTAGGACTTCAGGCTGCACAAAAGTACTGGCACCGTTCAGGCAGTGAGTCAACTTGAGAAGAAATAGGGCTGATGCTATTTTTCTATAAATACTAAATCAGGATATGGGGGAACTATGAGTCGTGTGGCAAATGTACAGAAAGTGAAATTATTCTCCCTCTTTTGACCATCCAATAAAATTGATGGGTAGTAGGTAGAAGCCAAAGAAATTTCTTCATCCAGTCAAGGATTCATTTGTGGTGGTTATGTCCTCTAGGTCACGGTTTCCCAAACTCAGTTTGGGAACTCAGAACCATTTCACAGTTCCCATCATCCCTGACCACTGGTCCTGCTAGCTAGGGATGATGTGAGTTGTAGTCCAACAACAGCTGGAGACCCAAGTTTGGGAAGCCCTGGTCTAGATATACCAGTGATCACTAGTTTAAATGGCTTAGGAAGGATTAGGTAAGTTTACATAGGATAGGAGTTCCTTATGCCCACCACGTCTTGATCATGGTCTTACTAGGGACATACAATTGACTATTATGGCAGACAAAACAAAAAGTTAGTGTTTGCAAATAGCCCTGATAATTTGCCTCTACTAACAATCTTTGAAATACAGCAGGTGGCTTGTTTCTATTCTAGGCATTGAAATTAAATTGATGAGAACAATCTGTGTGCGGTTGGTGTTTAAGGGATAGGAACAAGACCTGTATAAATCTGGTAATTTTCCTTAGCACTGTTCCAACATATGCAGTTTGGCTTGGCCCACATAAAACACCTTTGTCCTGTGCTAAAAATGGACCCATTGCAGTTGGCTATCAGTGGGTTGTTGAATTAAATCTGTAAGAAGCATGCCTTCTTGACTTCCATGTCTGTGTAGTGTAACTTGTGTTTAATGTTTCTGTTTCAAATATCTGCAGATAAGTTTCAGAACCATTTCACAGTATATGATGGGGCAACTCTCTCTCTCTCTCTCTCTGTCTCTGTCTCTCACTCTCTCTGAGTGTGTGTGTCACTGAGTTTGCACTGAACTGGAAGCTGTAGCCAATCCTGGATAATGCCTTGAAGTGCAGTACTACATTATGTGGTGAGTGGCACGTGTGAATGAAGGATCACAAATCAAACATGGCAGAAATTCCATGTCCCAAAATGCAATGCTTTACAATGGAATCAGTTCACATTGTCAGCTGTGAGTTAAAAACAGATTGCAGCTCGAGTGATGTCCACTTATGTGTGAATCAGTGGTGTAGATATATGGTGCAAGTTCAAATAGAACATATTAAGCATATGCCTAAAAAGGTGAAGGTAAAGGACCCCTGACAGTTAAGTCCAGTCACGAACGACTCTGGGGTTGCTGCGCTCATCTCACTTTACTGGCCAAGGGAGCTGACGTTTGTCCGCAGACAGTTTTTCCAGGTCATGTGGCCAGCATGACTAAGCCGCTTCTGGCAAAATGAGAGCAGCACACAGAAATGCCGTTTACCTTCCCACCAGAGTGGTACCTATTTATCTACTTGCACTTTGACATGCTTTCGAATGGCTAGATTGGCAGGAGCTGGGACCGAGCAACAGGAGCTCACCCCGTTGCAGGGATTTGAACCGCCGACCTTCTGATCGGCAAGCCCAAGAGGCTCAGTGGTTTATACCACAGCGCCACCCACATCCCTTAAGCATCTTAAGCATATGCCTAGCAGTGTATAATTTGCATCCCTCAGACAGTTTGGGGAGCTTTACAGAGAGAAGATTCTCATAGAATCATAGAATCATAGAGTTGGAAGAGACCACAAGGGCCATCAAGTCCAACCCCCTGCCAAGCAGGAAACACCATCAGAGCACTCCTGACATATGGTTGTCAAGCCTCTGCTTAAAGACCTCCAAAGAAGGAGACTCCACCACACTCCTTGGCAGCAAATTCCACTGTCGAACAGCTCTTACTGTCAGGAAGTTCTTCCTAATGTTTAGGTGGAATCTTCTTTCTTGTAGTTTGGATCCATTGTTCCGTGTCCGCTTCTCTGGAGCAGCAGAAAACAACCTTTCTCCCTCCTCTATGTGACATCCTTTTATATATTTGAACATGGCTATCATATCACCCCTTAACCTCCTCTTCTCCAGGCTAAACACGCCCAGCTCCCTTAGCCGTTCCTCATAAGGCATCGTTTCCAGGCCTTTGACCATTTTGGTTGCCCTCCTCTGGACACATTCCAGTTTGTCAGTGTCCTTCTTGAACTGTGGTGCCCAGAACTGGACACTTCTCAAAATGCAGCCTTATGAAATACACCATTCTTTGCAATGTGTCCTCCTGAATTTGGTAGTGTAAATTAGATGGGAAGAAAACCTGCTGCCCCTGGCACTCAGTGGAGCTATGCAATGCAACTATGTAGATCTTTGCAAGGTTGTGCTAGCTGCTTGTTAATTAGGAACAGAGTGGTCCTTCTTTCAGAGTGCACCATAAAGAATATGCACATTTGCTGGCAAAGAGCATCTAATATTTCTTTAACACTGACTAGGTGACACCTCATTTAATTAGGTTGCGTCCAGCTCTCAGGACAGCCTGTACAAGCGATAGTTTTTCATGTCTGAATTCTTCAGCTGTGAAGACATAAAGCTCCTTAGTCAAATTACTAAAAACAAAACAAAACACCAAACCCACCAATTAATTTCCTTAATTTTCCTTTGGCTAGCTGCTGTATTTCTGTATTTTAGATTTAGTGGCTCAAATGAAGCAGCATTTCCTTCAGGCTCTCGCTTTCTGCCTTCTCTCGGTGGGTCGCTTGCCAGCTCCTTTCCTTTGGAATGGTTGTGTATTAATTAAGTTGCCGTGTTCTTAAATGTGGTCTTTTGCTTTTCCTTCATCAAAAAAACTCACAAGCTTGTTAAAACTTCACTTCTGCTAGAAACAGATAGTGGGGCATTTTTATCCAAAATCTCCTTTGGGGTCATTTAAAGATATCCAAATTTCTGAAGACAATAACCTGCAATTTTTTATTAAAAACGACAACCAAAAAACCCACTGAGA